CTTGGTGTCACGTCGCCTACGGCAGTTCCCAGATTCCCTGTTATAAATTTAATCTGTCTTTAAACAGGTGCTGCATCCCACGGAGGTTATATTTGTTTCTCCTGACCCTGCAAAAGCAGCAAGCCTCTTGCTGAGCAGGTCCGAACCTCATACCAGGTAGTATTTTCATAGATTTCATAGATTTCTAGGTTGGAAAAGACCTTAGAGATCATCCAGTCCAACCGTTCCTAATCCCCCATTAAACCATGTCCCTAAGTAGTTCATCCACCCGATGACGGTATTTTATACCATGAAATCCTGGGACTGAGCAGGGACTGGGAGCATCCTAACAAAGCCCTGGAAAAGCAGCCTTGAGAGAGTGATGTTGCTCTGAATTTGAGCATTGGGATAGCGGACGTCCCCGATGACGGTATTTTATACCATGAAATCCTCAGGAGCGGTTTGGGTCGGTTTGGCAGACAAGACAGTCTCTCAAATTTCCTTCCATCATTTTTTTCTATGCCTTGTGTGTGCTTCAGTGTTAAGATGATTGGTTGTGGCTGTGCAAAAGGCTCTGGGAAGCGAATCGGTTGGTAGTTTGTTGCCCTGTAGGGCCATGAAGACGTATATATTACTTAAATGTCACTTCAGTTTTAGTTTTGAGTCCTAAACAGTATTTCAGGTGAAGATGCTTTGTGATGCCCCTCTGAACTGCAGCCTTCACCACCAGCGGTCCTGCATGCATTAGGAAAAGACTGATGCAATTCAACACTAACTGGGAGAAAAGAAGATTCCTAAAGTGAATGACATGTTTATTCTTCATAATCAGAATTTCTTGTGTCAGCTCTGACCCAGGCTAGTCACTGCAGCATGAAGGTATCACTTCATGGTCCAAGAGGTTCAGATAACACCAGTGTGGGCACATCTGCATCCTGGCTCTGGATGTAGCCTTTGTATATCCTCAGCCCAGGGTACCAGGCCACAGATTTTAGTAGTGTGTCTCCACATAGCCACCTCAATCAGTCTTAGATGGCATAATTCTCAAACACATCCCCAGGTTAACGTTGGGAAGGTAGATGAAATTTCTGGAACCGTTTTGTTAACCTGAAGATCCCTTTCCTTAACATCATCTCGTGTCCAAGCTATTCCCTAACATCTAGCAGACTTAAACACTTCACCAAGTATCCTTATAGCAGCAAAGAAGCATCCTCAGACTATGCAGGAAGGTGACAGATCTTTGTCTTACCTTGGTCTGGAACGTACAGAAGACATGAGTCAGGAATGGGTGCTCCCAAGCTAAGGAGAGGACTCTCTTCTCCACCATTGTACATTCAACATCATCATCCATCAGCACCACATCCTTCTTCAGGGCTTTCACTGCAAAATACTGGTCTGTGCTCTTCAGCTCGGCAAGAAACACCTAGGGTGGAAACAGCTGTTCAGAAAGAGCAATGCTCTTCTCTCAGAGCTGGCAACACAGACATGTGAGGATGGAAGCTGAGCTTTGGAGAATTCACTAGGCTAGATCTTCAAAAAGTTGATGTTTAAGGTCAAGTTCTGCCCTTACGACTTTGTAGACTTTGAGTTTGTTCCCCACACCCAGAATAGTCTTATGAAGCTGAACCCTGGGGAAGGATGAAAAGGTCTTGGTGATGACAAGAGCAGGGGCTGCATGCCCATACGGACAGGACATGTCAGAGCACCAAACACTTCTGGTAACAGAAACCATCTTTATGCAAATTCCATGAGATACATTTCCTGTTTTCTGACTTTAAATAACAAAACATAGAACATTGCTTTGTCAACATGTGAAATGCAAATGTCCTGCACCAGATCCTCAGCAGGTGCAAACCGATGGCTACCAGTAGTTAGGCTGAGCTACATCAGATGTGACTTTCTCCCCTTCCTCTCAGTTAGCAGGAGGCCTGAGCAGACAGGCTGGGTCCCCCATGGTTCTGCAGGACTTCTTCTCTGACAGGAGCAAAACACATCCCAGAGGAGTAAGGACCTCTATCATTTTTTTACGGGCAGGAAAATCGAGACACGGAGCAGCAGAGAAGGGTTTTCCAGAGACCGTTGAGCAAAGAAGTCTCCACTGGAAGGCAGTGCCAGCCCTGATCTTCATGCTAACAGGCTGTCAACACTGTTTCCCATAGACTGAATAAATATGTAAGATTCATCAAAGAGGTCTTTGAAGTTCTCTACTAGACACTATTTACTGGGTAAGCTCAGACACGTTTTAGCCCTGACAAATTTTTATTTACCCTTTTGGCTACTGCTGCATTTCACTTTGTAGCACTAGACAGAGAGTAGAGCCTAGAGCCTGCCTCTGTCTCTGCAGTCAATGACCAGAAATGCTAACAGTGCTGATGCTGCAGGCACCCTTTTTACTCCCATTTTTGTGCAGGGCACTGCTCTCCTGGGGAAACTGGGGACCGCGGTATATTTGTGACTTGTGCTGTGACTTGCGAGGTGCAGGGAGGCAATGCTAGACCTCATGCAGAGGGGGCTTCCTCATGGGTCTGGCTCTCAACCTCCCTGGTCCAGGCAGCTGGAGAGACCCCTCAGGCACTGAGACCTGCACACCCTATCTCTTCTATGGGGGAGTGAATCTCACTCCGAAGAAATAAAGGCACCAGGAGCAACACCTACACAGGAAACTTGTGGGTGATGTTTGTTGCAGAAGGGCATGAAATAGCCCATCCTCTCCCCACCCACATGGTTGCACTGCAGAGAGATGCAGATGTTTGCAAGCTTGGAGAGTCCACGTTAGCACAGGGGGCTGAAGCAAGGTATGGAATCTGCTTCCATGGAGGTGTTCAAGACTTTACTAGACAAGCCCCTGAGCAACCTCATCTGATTAGACCTGTTTTGAGTAGCAGGTTGGATTACATGACCTCCAGAGGTCCCTTCCTTCCAAAGTAAACGATTCTATGATATATCTACGCTCTTGAGTCCAGCTTAGTCTGGGCTGTGGAGTTTGGAGTATTTTGGCTTAGCGCTAACTCAGATGTCTCAGCTCTCCTTCCAGGCAAAGTGTGGGCATGCCAAGTATTTTCAAGCATGGAAAGGCAACACAGCAAATATTTCACCAGTTTAAGAATTGGCTGCAGCAATTGCTCCAGCTCACTTAGGCAAAAAGCAGCCCTTCTTTAAGGCACAGTTTCCACGTTGGAAAGATGTGGGATCTGAGCAATGTGATACATAATGATACTCATTCTCCTCACTGGCTGTGAAAACACAATGGTGAGCTCCTCTGAAATTGCTTCACGCAGCTCCGTGCTGGCACTGAATAACACGAGTCCCCTTCCAGGGGACATCTGCAAGAAGGAGGAACAATCCACAATTCATCAAGATTAATGAATCCACTGAAAACAGGTGGCTCTTGTTTCAGAAGCACAAATTCTTGGCTCTTGCAAAATTTGCTTTACGCTCCAGCACAGACCGGAGCTGGGAAAGAGCAGTTAGCATTCCCAGCTGGGGACCTGCTGCTCTGGAGAGGAGAGGTGATCCACGCTCAACTTTTCAGCTAGTGCTTCTGCCTCCCTCCAAGCTTGCTCAGCTAAGCTGGCAGGAGTAACTGCATGAAGGGAGACAGCACAGAGATCTTTCCCACCAGCTCTCTATGGATGCCCAGGCTCCTATCAACCTGCAGGGAAGGAGAAGTTGCAGCATTACTCAGCTGTTTTCCTCTCCTGTTATGGGCACTCATGAGACAGCAACTAATGGGGCAGAGGGAAGGGCAAGGAGGATCTTTGTCTTAAGCAAGGAGAAGACCAGGTTCAAGACTCAGCCATGGCAGAGCAAGGGTTCTTTGAAGGCTTGGAGATGTTCTCTCCTACGTGGCCTTCAAACTACACGCTATTTAGTGCCATAATAAGCCATACGCAGATCTGTGCGGTGGTGTCTCAGTCCCCCGATGCTTACCTTGCCAAAACTGCCCTTCCCCAGCATCTTGTGCAGGACAAAATCTTCGATGGTTAGTTTTAGCTGCACTTGGTGCTCTTGCTGCTCCTGGGGCTGTTCTCCTTCCAAGTCTGACTCTATTAGAGACTCCCCCTTCATTGTGCCCTCCACCGGAGTCTCCCAGGAGATGCCTTGTGGCTCTGCAACACACATCAAAGCATTCAAATAAACCCCTGGAAATGAGCAGGAAATCCCCAGAAAACTTACAGGTGTTACGTTTAGAGTTTTAAAAGGGTATTTCAAATAAACAGAAACGTGGTGGCCAAATCTACTAAGTGGCTCTGCTCCCACATTGCTTTCTTTCCAGAAGACACTTTACTCCAGTGTAACTCCACTTTCTTCAGTGACATTACTTTCACTTTACAAACTCCTTCATCTGTCTTTCTGTTTCATGGTAGCAAAACATGACCAAACCCTTCATTTCTGACCGTGCGTGTTCTTTGTTCCTTCTTGCTGGTCGCTGTTATGATGTGGTCTCATTTTTTCAAGGCCTTTTCCAGCCTCTTGGCAAATCTAGCATGTGAAACAGATGGGACAGCATTTTCATATTGGGTCCCTACTCTGAATGTGAAGCTGTGATCAGGTACTCCAGCTGTCCTGGAGTAAAACTACTCAGAATTTCTTCAGTACTCCATTCACTTGGGTGTACATGATCTAAGAAATCCTGTTCCTTACTGGATTTATCCCTTGGACTCAAATGCACATTTGCTGTACTGTCCTAAGTTGCTGAACTGCAAGAACACTACTCAGCAGACATACAGACCCACACGTAAACCAGATGTGAAACCATTTGGGGCTTTACTGATTCACATCAGCACAATCAGTTCTATTTGCAGGAAAGAAAAAAAAATAATCACAGATGGGGACACTGGATTTTTTCCCCTTTGGGGCCAAAGGACACTGTCGTCTTAGCTCAGATGGTACTGAAACCAACCTCTGAGACTTGATAGCTTGATGCTGCACAGTATCAAACCTGGAGCGCTGGTGTAACGTCGCTCTGCCATGCTTTAGCCAGTGCTGTCTGACATTTTGCTCCAGGTTCAGTTTCCAGGATATTATCTCCACATGGGGCAGTATTAACTTCCATTGAGAAAGTAGATGATGGTGGGGCCTGAACTTGCAGCTTGACCCTTGGTTAGGGATGGAGGTGAGGACCCGCTGTCCCAGTCCTTGTTAGGTATAAGTACTGATTGACTTGTACTCTTTGTTTTTCCTTCCCCTTTCTGCTAGATGCATTTTAAAGCTTGTGGGAGGCAGAAGAACATTGTCAGTGCCATCATAGGTCTGCTGCAGTGACAGTACAGTTCTTAGAGGGGCACCATGAAGCTGGTAGGGTCTAGAAATGACCTTTTACATGGGCCACACAAGTCTAATGACAGATAGTGGCATTTTTGCTCCTAATATTCAGAGTCCTCTGACCCAAGCACAAAGCAGAGAAACAACGGATCTGCCCAGGAGAGTGTTATTTTCCTTTCAAGCCCCTGAGCCCTCAGTAGCTTTGTTGAAGGTCTGTTAATCAACACTCTTCCCCAATTTCTCATTCACCCTCCTAAATGTCTGCTCCTGTAGCACAGAGGGCTATGCCACCTAGATCACATCCTGATCGAATGAAGTGGGGATCTGTCAATGATTTTCGAAGGTACTGGATGTCAACTCCTATGCAAAACATTTGAAATCAGAAGAGTTGGCCATGGTGATCAGCAGGACTCCCAACCTCCTGTTCAGAGCTTGATTTCTCTTTAAATCTCCCAGATATCACAGTCTGTGAGTCCCAGGAAGGGAATAATCACATTATTGCCAGTGTAGGTACCAGGTGCAATGAAGTACCGGGTCAGAAAGCGAGTCTAGGGGTTAGCTGAATGAGTGGTGGTTGGGGTCTCATGTCACCGGAGGTTGAGATGGCATGGGGGAGTTGCAGGTTTATAGAGAAGAAAGAACCAGGTTGGAACCAGGGTATCCTGCCATGCCAGAGTGATGTGGCTGGGAAAATTTGTTGATATCCTGGGATGTAAAAGGGTATGTCTTGCTCTAGGCTGGAAAGACACATGAAAGATTCACTGGCTAATAAATTCCTCATCCTTGTCACCTCCACCTAACCATGTACAAACCAAAAAATTGTCAAAGCCTGCTGTTCCATATTCCTAGGGGAAACTACCTTTTTTTCCTGTCGTAGATGCTGGCAATGCCTGAAGTGGTGTTACCTCCTTCACAGGAACTGGGAAGCCAATTTCAAGAGGTCCATCCCTGGAGATCTGTTCAGTGTCACGCTGACAGCGAGCCTGTATTACAGAAAACAACAAATGACTTTTGAGCCAAATGTTCTGAGCTTATGCACATGGCTGCTTCTTGAGAGTGACTGCCACACAAGCCAAGATCTAGAAAAGGTCTTTGCTTATGAGAAGAACATCGCTGTACCTAACGTTTAGGGGTTTCGTTAACCTAGAGGAACCCACAACATTCTGTGAGATGTGTGTGGGTGTTGATAGGTGTTTGTACTGTCAATATAGAGATCTTCTATTTTGCACAGGGGTCTGAGTCCTTGGCTGTCCACACAAAGGGCATTTTAATTAACTAACTCCTTCCAAACAGTCTTCTTTGAAGAGAAATCTGGAAAAATACTAGAGGTTGGAACATGTTGCAGCCTCACCCCTGTACAGTGTCTGGATGTCACTCTGAAGAACTCCTTGTACCAGGATGTTGCAGAAGGTAAGAATTCGTCTGGATTCAAGGGTTATGAGACACCTTTGAATCATAACAAATCCATGCAATGCTATAGGCATGGGGAAGAGTGGCTGAAAAGCTACCCAGCAGAAAAGGATCTGGGTGTATTGGCCAGCTGAATATGAGCCAGCAGTGTGCTCAGGTGGCCAAGAGCATCCTGGCTTATATCAGAAATCGTGTGGTCAGCAGGATTAGGGAAGTGATTGTCCCCCTGTACTTGGCACTGGTGAGACCCCACCTCGAATGCTAGGTCAGTTTTGAGCCCCTCAACACAAGAAAGACATTGAGGTGCTAGAGTACATCCAAAAAACAGCAACGAAGCTGGTGAAGGGTCTAGAGCACAAGTCTTATGAGGAGCAGCTAAGGGAACTGTGTTTGTTTAGCCTGGAGAAAAGGAGGCTGAGGGGAGACCTTATCGCTCTCTGCAACTCCCTGAAAGGAGGTTGTAGCGAGGTGGGGGTCGGTCTCTTCTCCCAATTAACAAGTGATAGGACGAGAGGAAATGGTCTCATGTTGTGCCAGGGGAGGTTTACATTGGATATTAGGAAAAATTTCTTTACTGAAAAGGTTGTCAAGCATTGGAACAGGCTGCCCAGGGAAGTAGTTGAGTCACCATCCCTGGGAGTATTTAAAAGATGTCTAGATGCGGCGCTTCGGAACATGTTTTAGGGGTGGACTTGACAGTGTTAAGTCAATGGTTGGACTTGATGATCTTAAGGGTCTTTTCCAACCTAAATGATTCTATGATTCTGTGAGACAAAAACATGAAAGATAAATCCTCTGAGGGCTACTAAACACTAGGACTCCAGCTATGTCTCAAAAAGTCCTCAAAGCCTAAATTTTGGGAGATCAGAAGAGTATTCTAGGCACAAATACAAACTGGGCACACAGTGGGTTGAGAGTAGCCCTGAAGAGAAGGATTTGGGGGTGTTTATAGATGAGAAGCTCAACATGAGCCGGCAGTGCGCTCATGAGGTCCAGAAGGCCAACCACATCCTGGGATGTATCAAGAGAAGCGTGGTCAGCAGGTCAAGAGAGGTGATTTTGCCCCTTTACTCTGCTCTTGTGAGACCCCACCTCGAATACTGTGTCCAGTTCTGGTGTCCCCACCATAAGAGAGACACAGATTTGTTGGAGCGTGTTCAGAGGAGGGCCACAAAGATGATCCAGGGGCTGAAGCACCTCTGCTACGAGGACAGACTGCGGGAGCTGAGATTGTTCAGCCTTGAAAAGAGAAGACTTTGGGGGGACCTAATAGCTGCCTTCCAATACCTGAAGGGAACTTACAGGAAGGCTGGGGAGGGACTTTTTACAAGAGTGTCCACCGATAGGACAAGGGGAAATGGGTTTAAGTTGAAGGAGAACAGATTTAGATTAAATCTTAGGAAGAAATTCTTCAGTACGAGCGTGGTGAGACTTTGGAATAAATTGCCCAGAGAGGTTGTGGATGCCCCCTTCCTGGAGGTGTTCAAGGCCAGGTTGGACGGAGCCTTGAGTAGCCTGGTCTAGTTGAGAGGCGTTCCTGCCCATGACAGGGAGGTTGGATTAGATGATCTCTGAGGTCCCTTCCAGTCTATGCCATCTATGAGCCTATGGTTCTATTTTGGAACCATTCTATGATTCTATGATTCTACCTCTCAATGTTGACTCAACATACACAGTGCAAAGAGCTGTAGAGACAGTAGGTAGGAAATAGAGAAGTAAGAGCAGAAAAAAACTCCTCTTTGGAGGTATGGCAGAACTATCTATCACATAAAGGTGAGAAATATACAGAGCTAAACCTGGTAGACAGCCCCTCAGGAAGGTATAGATGGAAAAACATCTGCTATGTGGATTATAATGTTGCCTTGGGATACTTGAGGAACCTAAATATTGAGGACTGGGTACCTATGGATTTTGTCCCTCTCTAAGGTTACTCAAGAGCTGAAGGTGTCCTAACAATCCTGATTCTAAACTAATATCTCTAAAATGTCTTATGGGTTTGGGCTTGTGACAAGCTATTTTTCCTTGTTTTTAATTCAATTTTCCGTGTTTATACACTGTTTATGTGACAGTAGTATCTAGATCCTCTACCCAGGGCCCATGTCTCTTCATGAGAGTCCCTGCTCTGGGAGTTTCATTCCAAACAGATCAGAGAGTCACAGGAAAGATTGCTAAGTGACAACCATGGAGCAAGGTAGTGACAGCAAAAGGACCAAACCAAGCTCCTCTCACTCTGCCTTGGACCCTGTTACACAACCTTCGTTATGAATGTAACGTAACTACAACTGTACTGAATCAGGGCAAGAGTCCATCCAGGTCCTGTCCTGTCTGCAATGGAGGTCAAGTAGATAGCAGGTAAAGACACAGGAAGAGTGCAGACATGCAAAGTCATCTCTTCAGAATATTCTGCCTATCTTCAGAGATTTCTTGATTCAAAGGCAATACATTTCTACTAATAGAATTAATTATTCTATTAATCCTGAATGGATTTCTTTTCCATCAACACTGGAGATTGTCACTGCAACCCGTGAAAACTTTTGGTCTCCAGAAATTGCTGTGAGGAGTTTAACTACCTATTCCAGGAAGGACTCATTTCCTACTCTTTGCTTTGAACTTGTTACCCACAGTGCTCCACTCAATGCCCTTATCTCTCAAACTGAAACAAACAATGAACACTCCATCTTTCCCCAGGTCACTCACAGCTTAAAAGTATTTACCTGCTGAGTGCTCTCTATCATTGCCAGAGCTTCGGCCATTAGTTTCTGGTTAACTCCACAAAGGTTTGCTACTTTTGTCTGACACTTGTGATGGACATTCATGCCACATGCTGAAAGAAAGAACAAGAGGTGTCAGGATAACAGGGGATAGCCAGGACGTAAAGGGTTTGACATTAGGCTGGGCAGAAACATGTGCTGCTGTTGGCCAAGGGCAGAGATCAGCCACGTAAACAGCTCAAAGCCTGGGTACCATTTATGTCTCATGAGATGGCACTAAGGTCATTTTTTCGTTCTCTATCTTTTTTATATCTTCTTCTGGGCAAAAGATTGTATTTCCACATCCATCAGGCTTTGCAGCTACAGGCTACCAAAACTCGACAGTCTATCAGCTCATAGATAAACCATAATCACAGAACAGGATCCCCCTATTGGTAAAGGATTATGAAGATGGTGAAATGTCTTGAGTCTGCCTGATAGTGGAAATAGAGCATGAAAGTTGATACTAGGAGTGATTCTGGAAGATCAAAGGTGGGCACTGAGACATTCTTTGCCTTTCTTGATGTGACTCTTCAGTCTGGAGGAGGACCATATATCTTTCTCTACGTTGACAGTGGTCCTCCTCTTTGAAGAATGATTCCCTTTGAAGAATGGTCCCCTTTACCAACTCCTTCACCACGCCAGATGCCATCTCATACAGGTCTCGTAGAGAAACGTGATGAGATTTGTCTCTTTAGGTTGCAACTCTCTCAAGACAACATCCCGCTCGTGCCACATATGCCATGAGCTCACCATCACACTTCAACCCTTGCCGTGCCAGGCCCCAGAGGAGCGTGCCGCAGTGCTCACAGAAAGTCGGGCTCTTGTAGTTG